CTGGGGAGGGGGTCTGTCGGTGACATTAAATGCTGCAGCCTGGGGAAATGCGTCACTTTGGCTCAGATGTCACTGGTCACCACCAGTCACACGGCTTAACTTCGGGGCATGCAAACCCTCCTGCAAAGTGGAGGGGTGCAGACGTGGGGAAGAGTCGTGCACCCTATCCCCGCCCTGTTCACCCCCACTTGTCCAGTCGCCCTGGGTGTGAGGCCTCACCAGCCCTTGGAGCCCATGGAGCAGCCCATCACCCCGCCTGCTGCTTTCCTGAGGCTGCAGAGCCCGCCCTGCTTCCCTGCTCCCCCCAGACCCGGGCCAGTGCCCAGCTCGCCGGCTGCCTCTTCATGGAGCCTCTGTCCCCATCCCCGACCTTCCCCATTCTCAGTCCTCTCGGAAGCCCTGGAGTTGGCCTTGTGGTGGGCGAGTGTGGAGGGCTGCCCTGGCTGTGGCCTTGACCCCGAGGGCAGAGCTTTTCCCACGCAGCCCCCCAGTGCAGGACCGCAGGCGTTGTTCTGGGGCTGGGGGCTGAGCGGCGGCCTCTTGCAGACATGTGCGCATGAACCACGTGGAGGAGACCCTGGAGCTGGTGGCTGCAGACCCAGCCCCCGCCAAGGGCAACAAGTGGCTGGTGCAGAAGTACATCGAGGCGCCGCTGCTCGTCTACGGCACCAAGCCTGACATCCGGCAGCGGTTCCTGGTCACCGACTGGAACCCGCCGACCGTCTGGTTCCACAAGCAGAGCTACCGACGCAGCGCCTCTCCCTGGACAATCTGGACAGGTCAGTGGGGGTCAGCTCGGTGCCATCGAGGGTGGGCTCCCACCAGCACCTGGAGTGCGAGGCAGGCCTCGTGTGCCCGGTGGGGTGCTGTGCCCAGGCCCCCTGCCCATCAGAGCCAGTGCCTTGCGCCCCCATGGGGTGTGCATCTTCTCCAGAAAATCCTGAAAGCACCGTCTGCCATGTGCTCGTGGGCACTAGACACCCTCTGCGGTGGGTGCCGCTGCCCCTCGCTGGGAAGGCTGAGTGGCCGGCCGTGCCCCTCCGCTGACCACACGGGCCGGGCTCGGGGTGCAGCTCTGCTTGCTCTCTCGGTCCCCTCAGCATGTGGAGGGAGGGGACAGGTAGGGCTCCTTTGGGAGGCTCCTGGGGACCAGCCCCTCAAATCCTGCAGTAGACCCTGCAGGCCCTTCGCTTTGTGAGCGCCCAGAGCCCTGGGTGGGATCCTGCAGGCGGGGAAGCTGCTGGAGTGTCTGGGGAGGTGGGGGGTGGCTCCCCGACGAGGCAGCGTGTGGGACGTGAGGGTGGCCTGAGGGGTCCTCTGAGGGTGACCCCAGCCATGCGGGGTTAGGAGGGGTGAAGATGATCGGAGCAGTACCCGATACAGGGTGCAGGGGGTGCCGGGCAGCAGCTCAGACCTGCAGGAGTGGGTGCCCTGGGGTGGGTGAACCCAGCCCCACCAGGGTCCCAGAGCGGGCAGGGTGAGTGGGTGTCAGGACGAGAGCCCACCAGCGAAGTCTTGGGAACGTGCCATTCTCTTGAGAGAATAGCTGCCACCTCTCTTTCCAAATGGAGGGCCTCTGTGGCTCTGCTTTGTGACCAGATGCGGGGTGCCCAGCTGGGTGCCTAGGCATCTTGGCGGGGGCTACAGGGGAGCCTGTCAGTATCACAAGGACTGAAGGTTGCTTAACAGTGACCTTGAGGGCGTTCACTGTGCTCAAGCTGGGGGCTGTGACCACACCTGGGGTCACACTTGGCAGGTGACTCCTGGAGTCACAGCTGGCAGGAGCAGGCATCTGGGACAAGTGGTCCTGGCCGGCAGCTCAAGGAGCACATTTGTTCCCACCAGGCGAGGAGGGCCTGGAGGACGGGTCCTGGGCTGACTGGGCAGTGAGAAGCCCACGGAGCCCCTTCCAGCCTGCCCGGCCCTGCCAAGCTGTGAGCTGTGTGTCTGGCAGGTCTCTTACCCTCTCTGAGCCATTTCTCCATCCGGGAGCATAACCCTCTCCCCAGGCTGACAGGAGACTCTCTGACGTTGTTTCTGAACTGTGTCGGCTCCCTAACAGCACTGTTTGCAGCTTCCCAAACTCTTCCGTACGCCTGTATCTTGTTTCTTGTAACTGTCTTACGGGAGTACCGCTCCCTCATGGTCACAGATGCGGCTCACCACCCAGAACAAGATGGCAAATCCCCAGGCCCAAGGACACGTTTAAATGAAAATGACTTTGAACAGGACCCATGTATTTTATAATCTCCTAGTAGATGCTATTCAATTTAAATCCTGTTTAGAACAACGTCAGCGTATAAACGAATTAATTGAACATTTCAGGTAGCGAGTCCTTCCAGCCTTGGGGGGCTCCGGCTCTCTTCCAGGGACAAGTGGGGAAACAGGCTCAGAGGGTGGTACTTGCTGGAGGCCCCTAGTTGGTGGCCCCGGGCTGGCTGGCTTCTGCCCTGCCCTCCCCGCCCTCCCCGCCCCACCCCATGGTGGTCCCAGGCGGGACGGGAGGGCTGTCCTGAGGTTGCCTGGGAGGATTAGGAGAACAGGGAACACGGCCCACGGGGGCAGGGGCTCGGGGGCGGAGCCTCGGGGCGGGGTCTGGACGGGGCCTCAGGGTGGGGTCCTGGGGCGCCCGCTGGGAGGAGAGAGGAGCCTGCGCACCCGCCCGACGCTGAGGGCGGCCTTGCCTCGCGGCGCCATCCACCTGTGCAACAGCTCCATCCAGAAGCATCTGAAGAACGACGAGGACCGGAGCCCCCCTGCTGCCGGGCCACAACATGTGGACCAGCACCGAGTTCCAGGAGTACCTGCGGAAGAGC